TCTCACCAAGTATTCTCTGCCAAAATGCATCATCCATAAATCGGACAAAATATGAATAATTAATTATTTCGGATAAAAAATTTGAGATAAATAATTTTTCACGTTATTCTTACGCATAATATAATTTTTGAAGCTTAACTATGATGCATGTAGGTGAATATTATTTTCTTAAAAATTTTACCTTGATCGTAAAATTGGTAAATGTAAATCGTCGGCTACGCGGCCAAATGGCCGATCTGGTAAATACCCCTGTGGGGAAAATGGCTAGTGGCCACTTTCCCCGTTGGGGAAAATGGCAGATGAGCCTTTTTTTAAATTTTACAGGAGAAGCAAAAAACTGATTATCTGCTCCAATTTTCAATGTTCAGATTTCAAAATTTGAACCAAAGTTCAGCATGTTATTGCAGATAATTTGGTAGACTTAATTTTCTTTTAAACCTTAATATACACCTGTTGTAAGAAATTTAAAGGGAAGTAATTCCACACTGAAAGAGTAAAACGTACAATACAATCGAAATTAAACCACTTATGCGATTATTTCCTGCTTTTCTTTGTTCAATTTAACTTGATAATAATATTTTATAATATAATTTTATTTAAATTCATCGTTTTTTATAATATTTTTATTATTTTATTTTATTTAAATTAATTTAAATTTTATTCTTTTATTTGCACAATAGTAAACAATTTTGGCATTAAAAGCATTTTTTTCTTATTTCACATGACTCGGCGTCACTTCTAATTATAATCTCATGAATAGTTTTACTGATACTTTCTATAAATTGCAATAATTAGTAAAGTAAAATCTAGCTCGGATACAACATAAAGCTTCTGGTTGCATGTCAAATATTTTAATAAAAAAATCTATATTTTACTATTTATTTAATTTTCAAATTATATCTATTTTAAAGAATTATTTGCATTATCATGCAAAATGCATGAAAAAGCTATCACTTTCGAATACAATATTGACGAAACTTCAGCTTATTCTGATATTTTACTTCTTACTTAATGTTAGGTATTTTATTAAATTTATTAAAATTTTATTTTTATATTTTTTATATTTTCATTATTTTTAACATTTATGGCATTTAAAACAATTTTGGCATTATTCAGCAAGCGGGAATGCTGCCTGCTTGCTGTGGAACTTGGCAAGGGGGCGTGGCACTGCCTTACTTTTGCTCCCCGAACTCGCGATAGTGAGACATCTACCGAGAAAGTTGATACTTTTATGGTTGTTTCTGATGCAGATTTTTACACTGAATGCATTGGAACAATAAAAAAAATTTGTCCGGAAATGCTCATCTGCCATTTTCCCCAACGGGGAAAGTGGCCACTAGCCATTTTCCCCACAGGGGTATTTACCAGATCGGCCATTTGGCCGCGTAGCCGACGAAATATAATTAAAATTATAGAAATTTGGTGCATTAATAAAAATTCTTTAAATGCAAAAAAAAATTGAGCTAGCTATTTTTTTAAATGTGCCACATATTCTTCAGTATCTTAATAAGTTCTTCAAAAATTTTTGTCAAAATTTAATGACGTAAAGAAGAAATGTAATGAGATTTTCAAATATAAATAAATATTCTCCTATCTATAATATTTGGAATTTGATCGTTTAAGTCTTGCAGTGGGCGATTAGAGCTCATTTGATATCCTTGTTTGAGAATTCTGGTTTTCTAATTTTTCATTTACCAATATTAAGGATTGCAGATGGAGACACTGGCAATTTTCAATCAGATAAAAAGAAACTAGATATTTTTTAGCCTGGGGAGCCTTTGGGAAATTTCGAGGGCGGCGGAGGAAAAAGAGGCGCAGATTGGAGCACGTTCTCCAATAAATTCGGGCTCATTGAGGCGGGCACGAGCTCCATCTCGAAAGTTCCCGGCCAGGGCGGCCTTTTGCGCCGGATGAAAAATGCGAAGAAGCAGCGGCAGCAGGCAGGGCGGGACCCAGGCAGCAGCGAGCTAGCGAGGCGCGCGTCACATAAAAAGAAAGAGAGAAGAGGTAAATGATATGGAGGCTGCAGCCCCGGAGAGATGTGTAAGGGTTGCCGCCTGGTGCTCTGGTGCTCGGCAGTGGCCACGCCCCCTTCGGTGCCATTGGCGAACTCTGCGAAACTTGTTGAAACTTTTTTTTATTTTTATCAAAAAGTTTTCTTCCCACCCACCGCCTTCTTGCGCTGATAACTCCACCCTGCCCGCCGCCCTGCTCGCCGCCCTCCGCCGCACGGTCGCCCTTTTACGGGCGCAAAGACCCTTCCTGCTGCTATGGTGCTCATTTTAGCTCGCTCGCTCGCTCCACTTTTCCAGCCTCGCCAACCAACACCCACGGCGATCGTTCGCCTCGACTTTGTGCTCAGCTTCCTCCAACAGACGTGCATCTCGCGCGCGCTAATGAAAGAGCCCCCTTTTTTGCCCAGCTGCAAATTTCCGCTCAGCTTATGCTTTTCGATGTCGCGTGTATTTCAGCGACGGACGCCCGGATTAAGGCTAATTGCCTCCTCTATGACTGCAATCGCTTCGCAATCACGACGGCAGCAAAATCGCGGAATGAAAAGATCACGTTTTTTAGTAGATCTTATTGGAAATAAACGAGAGATTTGTCAAGTGAGATTTAATGGCAGCTACCTCAAACTTATCACAGGACTTATGATTTTTCTTACCTAAGAGGAAAAGTAATCATTAAAATGAAAATTCTACTTTCATGAGATGAAAGAGTAATCAATATAAAATAAAAATTTTACTTCAGTTAAGTGCTTCCCAAATTCTATAACATTTCTAAAAATTGGCTACCGATAGCTAGGATTTCAATAGGCATAATTAATTCTTCGTCTACTTTCAATATCTGAGAAGCCCCTTTCTTTTATTAAATATTAATGTTCTGAAGTTGAAAAGACACTTTAAATGAGAATTTAGAGAGACTCCGAAAAATAATCATTTTATGAATTATTAAAAAAAAGGGATATTTGTGAGAAATTCAACTAAAAAATTTCATGTAATACAATGTAAATTACAAGTGGTTTCATTAAAAGAAAATCAATATTTCCATTCTAATTAATTATTAATTCTGATTGAATTTTTCTTTGGAAGTTGTAACAAAGTAAACAGAAATGCATAAAAAAAGAATAATTATTAAATAATAATAATTTTATTGAAGTTGGTCCCTTAAACTTCCTTATTTGTGAAATACAAATGCTCAAGAATTAATTGATACATATAAATAAAAATTTATTTCTACAAATTGTTATAAAATTATTAAGATTTCTCTTGCATTTCGACTCAAAAATTTTAAGCTTATTTGATGGGTTAAAAATTGTAGCAAGATAATTGGATTAATTAATTAATTTAATTTAAAAAAATAAATTAGTAATATTTTTAGTGAAAAAACTATCAAATGCAGAACGAGAGCTAATATTACGACGCATAAAAATAATTTTAAACACTTAATTGCTAAAAAAATCCAATTTCTTTATTTGAAAAAGTGGTTTAGATTTTTTACTAGCTCTGTTGCAAAAAAAAAAAACGAATCAATTTAAAAAATAAGAAGCAGTGCTTTTCTTATACGTGTGTCATTGCAAGTTTGGAAGATTTGAAGATCCCTGCTCCGTTTTGGCCCGCTTCCACCACGTTCTTGAGTCTCAGCTTAGTTAAATGAATTGGATCGACGCTAATTGGGAGCGCATTTTGCTGCTTATTTGACAAATTGACAATCGGAATCCCTCACGATTCACTTTGGAGGGAAAGGGGAGCGCGAGATACAAGCTAGGGGCTGCTCTCGCACAGGAATCCAAGACATTTTTCAAAACGTTCCGCGGGGGTGGCATGGGGTGCGGGCGGGCGGGCGCGTGTGAGATTTTGTCACTTTGACAAATACCTGTCCCCGAGGAATAAATATTTTAAGACGCGAGAATTCGTCGTTTTTTCCTTTCTTTATCTGCCACTTATTTTTCTCCCTCTGTCGCGCGCCGCGCTTTCATCTGTAGGTGTTAGTTCCAATCAATTAAGGGCGATCAATCACAAATTAAACGCTCCGCTGCACATCAATATCCACATTTCATCGGCGCATTTATCATGTGTCACACCCCTAATCGTAGCGTTCTCTGACTGCACTTGAGTGAGCGATGCACAGATGGAGAATTCCTTGGCTGAAAAAGAATATATCTGAAATTTGGTAGAAGTGAAATAAAGGAAGGATACAATTTAAATCATGTTCCTCAAATTGAAATTGTAACTCACAATAGTATAATTTAGTAAATTCTTGAGCTATTGGTTTTGTCTTTTCATCCAAGAATTCAATTATTTTCCTCTGTTTGATACTATGCATTACATTAGACCAACCCAATAGCCTTGTAAGCTCACGGGTGCAAAAAGAAAAAAAAACATTAAATAAAAGTGGAGGATATGAAAAAAAAATACGAGTTTTTCTATTTTATTAATATTTAGTGTTGATTGCTCATTTTAAATTACAAATATAGCTCTAAAATATTTTATAAATAACTATAAAAATATTTCGTTTATTTTGTAGTTAATTTTATTATACATTTTAAACCATTTAACTAAATCTTATAATTCATTCTTTTTATTTTATTTATTTATATTATTTATAAAAATATTAAATTTTTTCATATTGATAAAATTATTTTCTTTGCAATGTTGTTATTTAGTTTAAAAATCAATCTTATAATTTATATCTGCGCCCATTGCTCTTCTTGAAGTAGTCATTAGATAAATTTTGCTTTCTCCAGATGAAGAGGTCTTCTCTTGTCCAGTATATTCAGTAAATTTCTAGCTCTCAATTCAATGATTCAATTTGATTAAAATTAATACGTTTAAGCATAAATAATTTTATATTCATATTAAATAAATTTTTCAGCTTCAATTAGTATATTTATACTTCATACAAAATATTCAAGTTTTTCAATTTTATCGGGTGCTTAATTTTGTTCGTTTGATTTTAAATTAACTTGATTTTAAAATGTTTTCCTTTTTGATTCACAGAGCAGAGGGCGATCCGAGGCACTGTCCCTGAAAGTTGGCGCAACGCTGAATGAGGTAGGTCCACTCCCCATTTCGACGCTCCCCGTTTTACTTTTCACAGCTGTTCCGCAATTGCGTAAACAGGGAGCTATTAATTAATTTGGCGAAAAGTTAACTTTCACATGCCGTCTGCCGGTCCCCTGCTTTTACCATTCAGGCCGGCTGCAACACAAAACTTTCGGCTCAAAAACCGCACCAAGCCGGCTGAGAGTTCGGGGGGCGGCGGGGAAGTTGCTGCAAATACAAAAAGTTACTTTTCGAGACTTGTTAAACCGCGAGCCAAGTTCCTCTCAAATGAAAAAGTGTAGTGGAGGCCGAAAAAACTCTAGTTTCTGCCTTTTTTAACTTTTGATTTGTTGAGAATTACTGTATAGCAGGCAAGTCTATCTGGTTCCCCCCTCGCACTCCCCCTTCGCGAACAACTTAACCAATTGCAACTTTGAAACTGTTGCACTAGGTCGGGGCTTTTTAACCTTCAAAAAGTTAGTTTTGACATTAGAGTAAAATTTTGATAAGTTTCCCTGCTCGGCTCCTCGACTTCTCTCTCCACTCGTATAACAAAGTTTAAGTATTATTGCCACTATACCACTCTTGCCTTTAGATATCATAAAGGCAGGGGCTTTAACTACTCTTGTCTGCGTATGACTCAATATCGCGCGCGAAACTGGGCCAACGTCACGCACCCTTCGCGCAATTCGCCACCCTTGTTGCTCTCCAGCAGCCTCATCATGTGCCAAAAGTGGAGGGAGCATTTTTATGAAACGCTTAACTCTCAACGAGATGCATATCTCTGTGTGTTTGCCTTAATCACGACTTCCTTTATTTCTCAATCGGCGCGCACCCCTGCTCGTTTTTTATATATTTACCCAGGAGAGGAAATGAGAAGGAGAGAGCGGAAAAATTCCCTGCTAAACGGTGGAGAAGAATGCCTCACTTGAAATTACAAGGTGGTTTTTATTTCATCCCCCCAATGAGCTGTAAAATTTTGAATATTCCGCTCCATAAAAGCCAATAAAGACTTGAATCTGATATTTTGTATACCAAGTAGCTAAGTAACATTTATTAAATATTATAAAATCTAAATTTAAGAATAAAGTGAAAATTTAAATTGTGTAAGAGGTCTATAAAAATCTCACAAATCACAATAATACATAAAAAAAAATTGAAATGATCTGGTAAAAATTCTGTGAATAAGGTATTTTAAGGAAATAACTAGCAGGTGCTTCATATTTTTTTTTTTCAATTTTTTGGCTCATTCAAATCAGCTTTTATTCTCATTAAGTCAGATAAGATGTTTTATAATAAAAAAATTGCAGATTACTTTTTAAATTTTCTTTAAAAATAAAATCCTAAGTTTTATGGAACTAAATCTTCATTAAATGGAAAAAAATTCAATTTCTCTTCTAGGTCTTTTCTAACCACAAGATTCTTCAATGTTGACAACAGAAAATTCTTAATTTAATAAAAAGCTAAAATTTATGGGCGTTTCATGAAAAATTAAACGCTACATTTAATGCATTAATAAATCTCTCCACATCATTTGTTATTAAAATAATCACAATTAATATCGATTTTACAACCCCCAAACCAGAAATAGCGACGGTTACCACTCGAACTGTATAAATCAAGACTGATTGATTCCGGTACTGGGGCCATAAATCTGCAACGGGTCACAAATTCGGCTTATCAGGGGCGTCCCTTCCATCGGCAGGGGTCAATTGCAACGTCCGGAAAGAGAGCAAATAGAGAGAGAAAAAATATATAATCGCGCACTGCCTCCTTATCTGCTTAAGTGCGAGCCGGCCGCTCATACTATAAACGGTCAGCGTTTTTGTTGCGACTGCTCTTCTCGTCGGAAGAACAAAAGTTTCTTCTCTGTTTGCTTTCTCATCATATTACATCAGCGAGAGCGCGCTCGTTTTATCTTGACGGCGGAACGGCGAATTTTACCGACTTGTTTGTCGCTGAAACAGTAAAGATAATCAACAGAGTCTGATTGCCTCTGGAAAATTTCAATCTCGCGACAGAAACGTGGCCTGATTTGACGAGAGAGAAAAAGCAGCAACTTGTTCTTTTTGTAGGGAAGAGAGTTTAGAGAGAGAATTGCACGTATAATATTTGTTGCTGGGCCCCGCCATAATTCATGAGCAATAAGGGCTGCAAGCCGTTCTGCCCATAATTTTTAGGAAACGTCAAAATCCCTTAAAACTTTCTCCCCCTGCTGTTTTCATGCCGAGTTCATCTCTCTGCAGCAGCAAGAGAGGACCGGCGGTGATACGGATTTATCGATATCAAATAATAAATCAATCATCTCTCCTGTTTGCCCCAACTCGCGATTTATGGATTCCTTGACGCGCCGCCGGAGAGGCTTATTTGATTAAAAGCGATTATTTTTTTCCTTCGTCTCCGCTCCCCGGCGAGAGATAATAATTCAATCGGACTCGAAGATGTTTTCCGATGGCAAAATTTCTCTGTTGGCAAGCTTCTTTTCTTGTTAACAAAAACTTGCTGTAAATTCAGTTTAAATTGGAAATTTGATATCTTCTGAAATCTGAACATTTTTATTGATTCGCACGCAGAATAACAAAACCAACAGATTTAGCCAGAAATTCATTAAAAGAAATTTTCAATCCTGAAATAATATTCTGACTTTCTAAAAGTAAATAAACGCATAAACAAATTTTAATTATTGAAGAAGAAAAATTATATACAAAGGATAAAGCGTATGTTGTCTAGCAAGCTTTTTGAAAACCAAGAAATTTATATTTAATATATATATTTATTATCGTCTTTTTTACCATTGTAAAAATTTAAAAGCAGAAATTCAAAGAAAAGAGCTACAAATTCACTTCTTTTGACTTTTGAGACTTCTTGTTGACGCATTGTTTCATTTCTCTCGGTCTTATCAAGATGGAAACTCCTGTTTTAAATATAAATCTAGTGACATACTCAAAATTTTCCAATATATCCAATATTAAATAGACTTGAGTTTTTAATTAAAATCGTACTTTTCGGTTGAAGGAAATGGTATTAAATTTATATATTTTTGTACTTTATTTTGTTTCCTTGAAATTTTTGTTCTTGCATGTAAATTTATGTTAAACTCTACAAGACTGTATCTACCCTCTCATAGGCTTTGCGATAAGCATGTGTGCATCACTTTTCTTGCATAACGGCTGACGAACTGCAGACAATCGTCCCCGTGCATCATTTCCCACACACAAGGGCAACTCTCCCCGTCGTACTAACGTTCGTCAACAAGAAAAATGGCACTCGCTGGTACCAGCAGCATCCAAGTCGGCTCTTTTGCATCTCTAGCTGTTCGTTTGCTATTAGATAAGTTCGCCTAGGCTCTTGTGTGTTTGCATCCCTTTTAGCTCGGTGCATCATGGGGGTTGCTGAGCGAGTGCGACGGGCGGAAAAGAGGGCAAAGTTCGCGACCTGCTCAGTGGTTTTGCAACTGGATTTTCCGCAAATATAATTTTCATTGCGTAACGATAATTTCGAGGGAATTGTTAACAAATTGCTTGACCGCGATTGCAATTTGCGTGCACTCTAGAGGATGTTAAATCAGATGTATGCAACCCGTGACACTGCGGTGCACGGCGGAAAATATATTTGCGTTTCCATCAGGAAACTCGAAAGTACAAGACTTGCAACGAAAAATATGAAATTGTATATAAATTCAAAATGTAAATATTTTGGTAAGTGATTTTTTTTTAAATCTAAAGGCTAAAAATAATGCAAATAAAAAAATTTCAAAAGAGTAAAAAGTTGTTTTCTCAAAGTAAAATTAAAATGATTGACAATATTAGTGAGCATTTTAATAATGAGGAAATTAAAAGGTTTATGTATACATATTTTAATTCACAGCTTAAAGAACATCTATTTTTGGAAAAAAACTTATAGAATTGAAACTGGTTAATTAAAAAAAAATATTCTGCTTTTTTATTTGTCTGCTAGATTTTTACTAACAGTGAATTCTATACATTAGGGATATGCTGTGGATATTATAAAAGCAACACCACGACATTTTCTGCGCTTTTTCTGCCAAAGAACAAATACGAGGAGAGCCAATTATTACGCAAATTTCCAAGCCGAGTGCGAGAGATGAATGTGTGCGTATTATGTATAATTCACGTCTGGTGCGAAACGACAAACCATAGGAAAATGCAGAGCTGTGTGTGTGTGCGGGGGGCATTGTGTCGGCGGCAACACAATAATGTATCACATACGCAAACACACAGTACACAAAACGGCATCGGCAGAAGGGACCGTGTGAATACGCGTGTTCGCCCGCCGAGTGCGGCACAAAACACAAACACAGAGAGCACCGCCGTTAGCGGCAAACTTTCGGCGGCTTTATTCGCGTCCTTTATTAAATACTAACAAGCTGCTAACGAGCGCGCGCCACCATTGTGAGCCAGACAACGCAGACGCACCTCAAAATAATTACGACTCAATTAAAATTAAACCCGGCCATAATCAAGCGGCGTGAGGGTTAACCCGTTCGCACGCTGCGGCGAACCTGAATGCAAGAAGCGCCAACCAATTGCTTTTAATTGCAACATTCAAAGTTTGAACGTATTGCGCAGAAAAATGATGAGAAAAATTCATTGGAAAATGCTATCAGGTGAAATAAATGTGAGGTGTATCTAAAAAAGTTCAGACATTGTCAAAATAATCTAAAATCACATTACTTACTTTTAATCAAACGGATTTATCTCTACATTTTTATGACTCCTGAAAATTTACGACAAAGAAACAATGTTAATTAAAATATAAGAGTTACGTGTTATAGAATAATGGCAAAAAAAATTGCTACCACATAATTTGGAAATGCTATTATGAAGCAAATAATTGCATTAAAAAGTTACTAATTAGCCAGTGGCTAACAATTGTGCAAGTTAGGCTATGTGTTTTAATTTAATTTTATTTAATTTAACGTACGTATATGAAGAATTAAGTATCAAATCAAATTAAGCCACGAACACTGATAGAATGGCCACCGATGG